CATAGTCTGCATTAAAGTGGAAGAGGGTGCTTTATTGGTGATGGGTGTGGTGGTTGGTGGAGGGGCTCTGTGATTCAGGAGAGAAGAGGGGAGGGAGGTGGGAATGGATTCTGTGTTTGTGAAGGGGAATAAAGCAATTTTGAGAAAACTGTCTGCAGTGAGTGTGGTGAGGGAGTGTGTGGTGTGGCTGGGGCACATGGCCAGCTGGCCTGGGGGCCTACCATGGGGAGTGCAGGAGCAGGTGGTCTGCCAGTGCCTCTTGCACTGGGTGCTTTGGCCCCCACTGCTGTGTGTGTGGTGCGCTGGGGGCCTCCATCGGGGTGGGGGAGGAAAGGGAGAGGAAGCATTGCCATTGCTGCCACTGCAGCTGGTGTTCGCAACAGGCTTCCTCCACCCACTGAACCTCCTCTACCCACGCCTCATGGAATAGCTTCCCCAGGCCTCACAGGTGTTATGCAGCACGCAGGCTGCAATGATGACCCAAGTGATGTTGAGCTCTGCAACCTTGAGATGGGTAGTGAGGGTGCACGAGCATCCCTTCAGGTGGCTAAAGGCACACTCCACTAGCATCTGTTGAAATGTGCCTGGCAGGGGTCCAGCTGGCTGGTATAGGGCTGCATGAGCCAGGAAAGCAGCAGGTAGGTGGAGTCCGTGATGATGAAGGGTGGTGGTCAGCTGGAGGTCAGGTACCCCAGCATGAAGCAGCCACTCTCCACCAGGGGTGGAAGGGAAGAGTTCAAGAACATGTAAGCATCATGGATGCTGCCTGCCCAGCCAGCACTTATGTTGGTGAAGGCACTGTGGTGGTCAACAATGGCCTACAATATGATGGAGTGAATAGTAGTAGGTGGTTACCATGGAGGAGGCAGATAATGGGGATGTGGGTCCTGTCCAGGGCCCTGATGCACTGGGGGAAACCCAGGGTGTGGAACCCTGCCACCACCTTCAGGGGGTTGTGCGCATCCACAGCACGGTATGCCCCAGCACGTCCTGGAGGACACTGCAGACCTTCAGGATGGCCTCCTCAGTTGTCACCTTGTCCACACTGAAGAGGTGGCCAACACAGCACAGGCTGGCGGGTGTGGCCATCTTGAGCAGGGTAATTGCCAGCCAGGTCTCCTCAGGGAGAGGCAGCTGCATGGTGGTGGCCTGCCACTCCAGGTGTGGGCACAGGTGGTTGAAGAGCTCCTGGAAGGTGGTCTGGGTCATCTGAAGGGACTCTAGCCACTGCTCATCATCTGAGGTGCTGTGGACAATGTGCAGCCACCACACCTGGCTGACCAGGTGGACCCACAGGTGGCAGGGCTGGAGCTCCAGGGGCTTATGGATGACACCGGTGGCAGCATCCATGTGTGCATCGTTGGCATCCCTGCTGGGGTCTAGGTGGCATCCCAATAGCTGGTCAGAAGCAGGGCAGTAGCAGGGAGCCTTGGATACCACGATGAGGCTGGCTACGTGGCTGCACAGCATGGGGGAGCAGGCAAGGCCAAGACTGACTTGGGCCAGGTGATGATCACTGTTGTGGTGAAGCACAGTGAGCACAGTGGCAAGCAGGGTGGCAAGCGCCAGCCTGGGGCACAGCTTGTTGCTCCTGGGGCCTGGGGGTAGAGCAGCCATCACACAGTGGGCACAGGCTCTGGCAACAGAGTTATAGAGGGCTGTGCCAGCATGCTGCAGACTGATTTGAGACAGAAACATAGGTGGCCAGGGAGCACCCCGCAGGGGTGGCTTTTAAAGAGGGTCACTGGCCCCAGGCAGATGTGGCCAGAACCTCCAGCTCCCCCTAGATGCTGCAGGGTGGGTGGCACAAGGGCCAGAGGAGGCTGGGAGCAGGCTAGTGCCATGAGGAGAAAATCTGCTCTCAAGTGGCTGCACATGTAAATGCTTGCCCAAGGCAGGGTTACTGCACTGTAAAACCATATAGCACTAATTGCACATGTAGATGCACCCAGAATAGGCTATCTTTCTTTGAAACACTGGATCAGGGCTGGCTGAATGAATTTACTCTGATAAAACTAAATTGTAATATCATAAGCGATTATTTTTTAAGGTTATGTTTGTAGCAAGTTTATAAAAGCTTAGTAGATATTATATTGTAGACATGATACAGATAGTGATTAGTCTAATCACATCTATTGATCAGCTTGTCTTTTGGACAGTATAATGATCAATTAGTCATTGCCACATTTATTACCATCATATAGAACTGTACATAAAGTAAGTCTCTTGATAATATTTAATATTATGGGTATATTTCCTGCAAGATAGATGGGTCTTATCCTTGAGGGGTGGGGAAAGAAAGGAAGTCTTGAGCTTGGTACGGTTCTTATACCTTTTCATGACTAGGTTACAAGAGAAAGCATCCTTTTACTTACACAATCTATGTTCCAAGGATAGCAATTTCAGCACTAGACAAAGTAGTTTTGCAGTTCTTTATAATATTTATCTTATAAAAATACATTTTTCTTGTAACAAAAATTAAAGCTATAAAATATAGCTACACTGCCCACCATTAATTGTAAACCTGACAAATATTAGATGGACTGGATAATTTTATAGCTAGAGCGAAAGATTTTAAATTATAGGTGAGAATTACCAGAGTGCATCCTACTTTTATTAAAAAAGGATTCACTATAATTTGGGAAGAAGGACTTCAAGAAAGAAATTAACTCTAGTACATATCTGGCTTGAAATTAATACCAAGACAGGAACCTGGCTAGCATTTCTAGACCTGAATTCTATTTGGAAACAAAGATATATTTTGTCTATGGGGAAAAATAAGTTTATGCACGTTTCAAGGAAAGTAATTTAGAACTTGAGCCTATTCATTAGGCAAGGTTCTGTTCATAAATTACTAGACAGGGAACTAGGAGTTTTATTTCCACCTTTACCAACCACCTAAGTATATGATCTTGGTCAGCTCATTTCAGTTTATTCCCCCTCCCACTTCCCAGTAAAATGTAGATAGTTATACCTTCCTCTGTAAAGAACCTTCAGATTAAGAGCCCCATATACTACCATTCATACTAGCCACCAAAGTTTATTAATGCCTGTGACCTCATTGAAATTAAGGCTCTTAACAGAATCTTAACAGTAGTAAGCCCAGTAATAAGGGAGAACTTGGCATTAGTTTTTGAAAGAGATGATTCTTCAGACACTTATAATTAGGTGTGCTTGAGGGATTAGATCATGGCAAAACTGGTTTTGCTCTCAGTAAAGTCAACAGACCACGGTATTTTCCAGGCTGAGAAGGTTTAAAGGCGAGTTGGAATGCTACACAGCCTGGAAAAATAAAGTTGAATTTCATCTTTGCAAATTATATTTTAAAAAAGTATACTGAGTACTTATTGAAATATCAAATTCTTAAACACATTTACTTAAAGCTGAACTGTATTTTAATACTTAATAAATAAATTAATAGTATTATTGCCTGGTTGGCGAGATCAATTTTCATATCACAGATACTATTTCTTTTTTATTTCTATGTTGGCCATAACATCCTCCCATACCCGTCCATTTTTCTAGAATCATTAAAGATCATTTTAGTTCTATTTTCCCCACTAAATCAGAAATATTTTATTTAATTATACATAGAGTTAAGCTTAGCAAGGCTATGATGCCTGTAAAACCCTTGATTAAAACCAGCTGCAGGGAAAGGGGGGTGGTTCTACATGAGACACTGCATTGCTGTAGCGATGCACTATGGCAATGTAACATCAGCGGGCACAAACCATGACGCTGATGCTACATCACTGTACTGATGAGCTACTTTGTTATAGTGCATCACTGTGGCAACATAGCTGCTAAAAATAACTGTGCGCCACCAGGATGGCGCAGTAACGGGCGTGTCTACACGTGATGCTATATCGCTAATGGGCGCATCTACACGTGATGCTACATGGCTATAGCAATGCATTTCAGTGACATAGCACCTGTGGGTATGTACACATGACCGGCAGCTACTTTGCTGTACCGGCGCACTCCTCCATAATAGCACAGCGAAGTAGCTGCTAAACATACCCATGTGCCACATGTACAGCATAGTATTGCGCCATGCTTTAGTAGTTCCAGAAAGAAGCACTAAAGCACGGAGCAGTAACATTGTTGCCGTAGGGCAATGTGTAGATGCACTCAGTATGTATTAAAATATGCAGTGGCATCAATCATACAAATACGGGCAGTTTTGGGATGGCTTGGCTAGGACCAGCAATGGTCCATGCAAATTCTTATTTTATTTTTAAATAATTACATTTTGTTTTTCTACATTTCACGTTTTATATGTAGGAGAATAATTCAAATATGTATTCTCAAAACAGGTCAATGTGTGCACTCCTGTTGACCCAGAATAGGCCTCAGATCAGGACTTTGGGCTCTCCTCTGCCTTCCATATATATTCTTATATACTCTCCATCATATGAATTAAGTGGAACACAGGGTTATATTTTCCAAGATTTCTTTTTCTTTGTTAGAAGTATAGCATATGGAAAATTATTGCCTTTTGTGGTTGCTTTGCTGGCAAAGGGTTGCTGAAAATGCTCTTCTGGGTCAGGAGCAACCTTCTGATGTTTTCACAGAACACACTCCAAACTGGAAATAAGGCTGGATAAAAAGAGTTAAGGAACTGATATACTCTGAACAAATCTGGTGGGTTTCCAGTCATACTAAACTAAACTTCATGAAGCAAGTAAATGAACTCATAAACTCCAGCAAACTCTGCAGAGCCCATTTTGTATTAAAACATTGCCTCCAGAAAGCATACAGAAAGACTGCAAAATTGGGACTACACACAGGGCACTGCTTACCTAGACATATGTTGCTCGCTCGTTCTCCAATTTCAAAAATTACCCTGGAAGCTTGGTAATTTTCAACCACCTTTTGACTTATTGGCTACAAACATGGAAAAGGGACCAAAGCTAGTCAATTTGTACATTTCCTTACTTAGGAAACCTCTTCCTTTTAAAGACAGGTGACTAAGACAGTCAAATTGGTTTAAATTTTACCTCTCTGATACAGGTAATACCATCGGGCGGTGTCTAGGAAAAAGTAAGAAAAAATGTAACAAAAGAAAATTAAAATCAGATATACTTTTGTCTCAAATTTTATTTCTTTAAAGTGAAGCTGCATGGGACCTGCAAAGTGACTAGGGCTCCCATTTACCAAGAGACGGTATGATGGTTTCCAGCAGTTGCTTAGATGCTGTGGTTTTTACTGCACTGCCTTTCTCTCTTACCCAGAAGGACAGTGAAGGAAGTCAGAGCTCCCTCTTCCCTATGTGACACAAGATGATAGTGAAACACAGGACACTGCAGGATGGAAAACATGCAGTCAGTCATGCAGCCATGCTCTGTGAGAGAGATCAATGAGGGGTGGATGCATCATGACACTATGGAGCAGTGATTTCAGCAGCTCTGATACTGAGCACCCCTCATGCGATTTTATAAGTTTGGACAGAGGGTCTCTCCCTTCCTGCAGTGGTGACCCTTCTTCTCTTTCCTTCTCTGGGTCAGAATACTTCTGTGTCTAGAAATGAAAAATGATTAGTGGATTTGGAGTAAACCTTAGGCACCTGGAGACATCAAGTGTTGGGAAAGCTGATGCTTGCAATAGAGCAAGATGCTGCAGTTTCTGTGCATCTTGGGGGAAAAAGAGTCATTAGTACATGAAGTTAAAGCAAACAGTATTAGGATTGTTGTTGTTGAGGTTTAAAAACAAATAAAAAAGCAGTTTGTTTCCTATTTTGAGCTGGATCCTATTCTACCTATTAAGTGCCGGACTAAGATGCCAAAGTGTGACACTGTTCTACCCTGCTCAAATCCTTGAAAAAAACGTATTAATACCAAAGGCAGGTGAGTACTCCTCCTCTTGCTTACTGATATTTGTCATTTAGCTTAAGGTTGAGATGACAGCATGTTAGAAACAGATGCATTAATGGATTTTCAGGGATCCAAGCAGAGGGGAATATAATCACATGTAGGCACTGAGTAGGTGGACTAGGAGCTGGCCCACTCTAGCCACATTTTTTACCTCAGACATTTGGATGCTACAGTTTGATCTGCAATCATCTGTGAAGAGTTGTCTGGAACTCTAGATCATGTGTCAGTATAACCGTGCCCACAAGTTTCCTGGCTTTCTCTCCAGACTGTTCAGCTTCTGTCTTTGGGTCAGTCCAGGTTCATCCGTTTCCTTAGTTTTCATTAACTTTGTACCACAAAATACTTAAAATTGCATTAAAAAAACCTTTCAACATCCCACATCCTCTAGTACCTAACACCTGATCTCTTCCTTGCTGATGTCTGCAACCACTAGAGAAGTTACCTCTGCCTTATTTATGCACATAAACAAGAGCAACTTGCTCAGCTGGTGCTGCTCCATTCATGGTATCATAAACTACATATCTGAAACAGGCAGAGATACTGTTACCAGTCTGAGACACCAACCTATACTTTCATACACTTTCTTTCTCTATGAGGCCAATCCTGCAGGTCAGAGTTGCAGGAAACCCTCGCTATTCATGGAGTTGACATTTGCGGTTTTGAATATTCGCGGTGCAGCATGATGACACTGTTACAGCACCAGCAGTGTCTGTGGGAGCTCCACACTTGCCATTGTCGGGCTCCTGCCACTGCCGCCTGGCTCCCACCGCTGGGCTCCTGCCACCACCAGCGCAGCCATGCTCCCCCAGCTCTAGGGGGCAGACAACGTTCATGAACGCAGTACAGTATTTTACACCTGCGGTGCTCGGGACTGCAGGGAGGCTGTTAGGAAGGCCAAGGCAGAGATGGAGCTAGGACTACCGACCAGAATTAAGGATAATAAAAAGTCTTTTTTCAAATACATAGGAAGTAAGACGAAGGCACCGGGTAACATGGGGCCCCTACAGGATAGGCTTGGCAATCTGGTGATTGCGGCAAATGAAATAGCTGACTTCTTTAACGAATTCTTTGCTGCCATATTCTTGAACAGGGACCAGGCCATCTCCCCCAATAGAATTGTGGACAGACCCAGGGGAGGCACCGCCTTGCCTAGGGTCAGGGAAATTTTGGAGGGGCTGGCTATGTTTAAATCAGTAGGTCCAGATGCTCTTCACCCAAGGGTGTTGAGGGAATTGGCGGGGGTCATAGCAGGGCCCTTGGCACGGCTCTATGAGTGCTCGTGGGGCACTGGTCAGGTACCAGAGGATTGGAAGAGGGCCAATGTGGTCCCCATTTACAAGAAGGGGAGAAAGGAGGACCCCAGCAATTATAGTCCAGTCAGTCTTACCTCAGTCCTTGGGAAGACCTTTGAGAAAATTATCAAGGAGCACATCTGCAAGGGACCAGCAGGGGATGCAATGCTCAGGGGCAACCAACATGTGTTCATTGAGGACAGGTCCTGCCTGACTAACCTGGTTTCTTTTTATGATCAGGTCACAAAGTCCCTGGATGAGGGTGTCGGGGTGGATGTCGTCTTCCTGGACTTTAAGAAGGCCTTTGACATGGTTTCCCACCACATTCTCTCAAAAAAACTTGGTGACTGTGCCACTGATGCCTACACATTCAGATGGGTGGCAAATTGGCTAGATGGTCACACCCAGAGAGTGGTGGTGTACGGATTCTTTTTGACCTGGAGGGATGTGGGCAGTGGAGTCCCCCAGGGCTGGGTCCTGGGGCCTGTACTGTTCAACATCTTTATCAGCAATCTGGATGTGGGTGTGGAATGCACACTGTCCAAATTCACTGATGACACCAAGTTGTGGGGTGAGGTGGGCACAATGGAGGGGAGGGACAGAATCCAGCTAGATCTAGACAAATTACAGGGTTGGCAGATGAGAATACAATGGAATTCAATGCAGACAAGTGCAAGGTACTGCATCTAGGGAGAAGGAAACAGGAACACACCTATAGGCTGGAGAACACCCTTCTTGTCAACACAGTGGCAGAAAGGGATCTTGGAGTCAGGATGAACATGAGCCGCCAATGCAAGGAACTGGTCAGTAAGGATAACCACACCTTGTCGTGCATCTACAGATGCATCACAAGCAGGTCCAGGGAGGTGATCCTTCCGCTCTCTGAGGCATTGGTCCGGCCACAGCTGGAGTACTGCATCCAGTTCTGGGTGCCTCACTTCAAGAGGGATGTGGCTAGCATTGAGAGGGTCCAGAGGAGGGCCATTCATATGGTCAAGGGGCAGCGGGGCAGGCCCTACAAAGAGAGGCTAAAGGTCCTGAGCCTATTCAACTTCCACAAGAGAAGGCTGAGGGGGGATCTGGTGATGGTTTACAAACTCACGGGGGCCCCGCAGGAATTGGGGTAGGCTCTGTTCCCCCAGGCACCACCTGGAGTTACTAGGAATAACGGCCACAAATTGTTAGAGAGATGGTTCAGGCTGGACATCAGGAGACATTACTTTACAGTTGGGGCTGCCAGGCTCTGGACTGTCTCCTACCTTGGGGGTCTTCAAGAGGAAGCTAGACAGATATTTGGCTAAGGTGATATGACCCCGGCACCCATTCCTGCCTGGGGTTGGACCTGATGATCTGTTTAGGTCCCTTCTGACCCTAAGTACTATGATACTGAGTATTCGCGGATTTCCCCATTCATGGGGATCTCTAGAATGTATCCCCCCGCGAAGGGCTAATGTCTCCTGTATACATAAAGAAATGTAGAAAGAAATATTCTAATGCATATGCTGCGCCTGTCTTCACCATGCGTCAGATACCATATTTATTTGAATCTAAGACAACCCTGACTATAAGATGACCCTCCCAAAAACTAAGTTCTGTACAGTAAAACCCTTGTTATCTGGCATGCATGGGGAATGGGGGGTGCCGGGTATCTTAAAATTCCTGTTAATTGAATCCAGCTATTTTCGGCTGGCTGCAGAGCAGTGGGGGGTGGAGGGGAGAAGGGCGGGTGGTGGGAAGCCGGAGGTGGAGTGACAGCAACACAGGGTGGACGTTTCAGCCAGACGCAGAGCGGTGGCAGTGTAGGGTGGTGGGTGGTGGCGGCGG